TATATACTTATAGATTATATAAATTTCTTTTCATTAGATCGGGTTTGAAGCTGAATTAGTTTGATAGCATACCTGAAACAGATAGTCTCCACTAAGAACAGAATTGATTTGTTTCATATATCACATGCCAGTACTTTCTGTAATAGTAGAACAGAACGACTTGTCCTCTTAATTCTTCCCTAGAAGAATGTATACTAGGCACATCAGAAAAGCCGGAAGTAAATACATTATTGTGTCTGAAGATCTGAAGTCCTCAAACCTTTAGAAACTTCGCTTGCTTGAGGTTCTGACACAAAAACAAAATTTCTCAGGGCCTTCATGCTGGGCTGTTCAACAGGCATGTGAAGTCTGTGAGTGCTGGAAAAAATCTTTTCTAGTCTTATTCTGGGCTGCCCCAAAAGGTCCAGTACTTTCAGTATCTTCCCTATTAACAAGCTCTGTGGAGCCACCCTTCAGTCTCAAAGATCCTGCCACAAAGGGTTGATTGCAAACTGTCATGAAGGATTTCTCCTTTGCCTCATGCAATTCTTTGAGTGGGAGACCTCAAAGAATCATAGAACAGTTTGGGTTGGAAAGGACCTTAAAGATCATCTAGTTTTAATCCCCCTGCCACAGGCAGGGAGTCCTTCCACTAGGCTAGGTTGCTCAAAGCCCCATGCAACCCCTTGAACACTGCCAGGGATGGAACATCCACAACTTTTCTGGGGCAACCTGTTCCAGTGACTCCAGAAAAACAAAACCAAACTTGAGGAAACCAGAACAACCTAACGTAGTGAAAGCCATTACTCTTGGAATCCTTCAGAGAATGACTGGTCAGCATGTTCCCCCCCGTGGAAGTTTCGGAGAAGTACACTAGAACTTTCCTGACCTCAAGTCAGCAAGTATCATTCGGGCTTCCCAAAAGAAATGGTCTGAACAGCCCATGTCTCTTCCATTTTGTACGAATAGTCTTGAAATGTTCAGGAAACAGCCATTTACTTCTCATAAAACTTGCTGTTCCTTTTTTGGGAATCTGATTTTAGAAACACAAACTGCAGTATAATTAACAGCAGTATTTTCCAGTTAACCCTGATCATTTGAGTTACATTTACTTTTTTCAGTTTTTCATGAAAATCATAATAACCGATGCAAACATACTGAAGATATGTGGGCAGTTGTCATGGAAATACATTGTTCTTTGGGAAAATAAGAAAAATGAACAAAAAATCAGTTTAGGTCAACCTAAAATTTAAATGCTTTGTTTTGTTTCCAGGAAAGAGTTAATGATCTTCAGTGTTGGGACAACTATAAGTAAATCTAGAAATGTTTTTAGAGAGACAGGAAAGTTCTTCATCTGATAGCTACAGCTAATGACTAAGATATATGATTGGTAATCAAGGCCTCTCTGTGAGTGAATGAGGAAGAAAAACTTAGGTTACTCTTGCTGAATTGGAATAGCTTAGGTATTTTAAGCTGAACGTTATGATTAATAGTTACTGGGAGGAATAAAAAAGGGAGGAAATAAAGACCTTCCACTGGTAAACAGCTCAGATTACCTGAAATAATGTAAAAGGCTATGAGCAAATTTCTTAGCACAGCATTAGACAGGCTATAAATGGAGGCCAAATTTGTTCTTCTAGTTTTAACACATGCACAGTGTTTAAACAGAAACCCAGCAAGACACAGTTCTGTAAATTCAAATTACAACCAGGTTTCAGTTTTTTAATGTTTTATCAAAAGTAAAAGCAAAATTGATGTAGCAACTGGACTTACGAGTTGTTCAAAGTAGTGGAATATCACAGGGCTTGGCTTTACTTGAAAATTTCCTTTCTGCTCCTCAAGAGAGAACAAGAAAATTTATGGGGGTTTAATTTTAAAGATTACTTCTGGTAATAATAATCTCTGGTATAGTATGCATCTTTTCTGTCTAAAATAGCTTAATGTTGAATATAATGTTGTTTTTTAACCTCTGTGGATCACAGTGCAGGAGAGTAAGCTGTTTTTCTCTTATGTCTCTATATCTGATTCTTTGATTCAGGTATGTTATGGGAAGAAGAAAGAAAATTGAAGTAAAAATCTGCTTTGGCTATGGTTAAAATATCAGCTTTTAATGATTATATATCATATTTATAGACCAAAACCTGGTATTTTCTGCTTGAATAACTACACAAAAGAAGGAAACCAAGACTTTGTGTCATTCCTTGTGTATTTTCTGAGAGAAACTAATCTTCTCATACAACCTAATCTAGTCATTGTCAGTATAAACTTAGTTAATTTTCCAGAAAGGTATCATAGTTACAATTTGCAATCCCACTGTAAGGCTGTGTAATCTTAGAATATGTATGCTGCAGAGCAATGCAAATTACTATTTAATATTTCCCTGCTCATAACAGAAATAGTCATAAATCCATTAACATCATCTGAGTTAGAATTTACTAAACTTATATTTCTTTATTAATTGATTTGAGTAGTATACTTAGCTCTTTTTAATTTTTATTTTTTTGGGGGGGGGAGAAGCCACATATCTGGCATATACAAATCCTGACCAACTGTTTTTCTTACACATCATCAGTCAAATTTACTGTAGATTTTATCTCCAAAATACATGCTGACATTGGCAGATCACACATTGAGTTCCTCGTATTTCTTGTCTTAAGTACTTCTTTCCCACATTTTGGGGTGATAGGAAGTACCAGTTTATCCTTGGTCAAAGGCTTGAATACTTTACTGAGTTGTGTTCAGACAGGCTGTCAGATCCACACAGAATGATACCGGTCATTGTGGAATTCTGCCATAACATAATGTCATAATAATTTCAGTTATTCTTCCAGTTTTATGCCTGTGTTCTGGGACTGTTCAAAACTTAATGGTAGTATACATGTATCTGCACAAACTAACTACTTTTCCTAGTATGATAATAAATATTAAGCTACCTCCTTTCTTTATAAATTGGCTAAAGCCAGAAATTTGTAACCCAGTAAGTATTCGAGGTGTCTGTTATCAAGAATGAGTGCTTTTGCTCAATATGGAAGCACATTTTAAAAATAGCAGTCTGAAACTTGAAATCTGTCCTATGACTCTGGAACTGAACTGGTAATTTTTTAAAGCCTTTTCAGTAATTAGAATTAACAGACAATATTTAGAAAAATAACTTCTCATATGGTGGGCTGTCTGTGAAAAGTAGTCAGTTACTTTAGTAAGACTGAAGAAACCAACTCAAAATAGTTGTAGTCCTGTAAACGTGGCTTCCAATAACAGCATTGCTTAATTATGTATCTGCTAATGGCACTTCATTACTTGAGTATCTTAAAATTAAATACTTTTTTAGTCCCTTCTACTATGTAACTATCTGGTAGTGGAAGAGTTGAGAGTTGGGTGTGTCATGTTTATCTTACATCTTGCATAAGACAGTGTAACAGCATTTTAATATAGGGTTAAAATATATATAGCAACTCATTAAAATTAGTTAACAATAATGTAAAAACCAGCTGAACTAGGGAGATGTAATTTTCACATCTGTAAACAGCAAGCTAGAAGTGGAAGTCCTGAGAAAGAAAGTACCCATGCTGTGTGACATATGAGTCAGACCCCCAGCTGCTTCTTCTGTCCTAGTACAGAAGTCGGATTCCTAGTAGGAATCTATTGATTTAAATAGCAGGGCAATGCTAAAGTGGCAGTGCCACTTCTGGTGAATGGTACAGTTGGGAATGTGCCTTCTGTTGGGTTTTATTGGAACATTAGGCCTTGTAGAAGGCATATCCCCAGCTGCAGACTTCCTCCCGTTCATGAAGGCATAATCCATGTGCGGCACAGCAGTATGTGGTGAGACAGACTGAAGAGTTGTCTCGTTGTTGCTGGTGAAGTATCAAAAAGAGAATGGTCTAGAATACAGGGATGCACCCTTCCTGATTAGAAAAGCACACCGGCACGTTTAGACTATTCTTATAATTTAAGTTTCTGTGTCTTTTCATAGCTGAATGTTTTCCTGTAAGTAGTTGCTTTTTCAGTTGAGGATTTAAGAAAGGAAATGCCCCAAAGAATTTTAGTATCCCTATATAACTGTCTATTAAACTTGTTAATTAAATATGCCAAGTTAATTTAATTTGGGATACATCAGTCTACTTTTTTCAGTAGTTAGCATTGACCTATAAAAATTGAAAGGTGATAAAATCCAGAGACTTTACATTGTTGTGGAAGAAGAATCTGAGGCTCATTCTAAACCCTGAGTTTTTCCAGAACTGATACCTTGCCCAGAATTCTGTTGTAGAGAAAATGTGAATCCATCCTGCTTCACGTATATCCTTCTCCTTATGAGGTATGGCAGTAGCTGCCAGAATGTCACAGAATATTTCCCCTATCCAGTAACATGGAGAAATGTGGTTTAAATTAAATGGAAAAGATGTAGTTAGCTTGCTAGCAGACTAAACTGAAGCACAGAATGGCAATGATAAATCTTTTTTTTTTTCTGCCAACAGCCACTCAACTATGAAAAAAAGAAGTCATATACACTTAATATAGAAGGAGCAAATACTCACCTTGATTTCCGCTTTTCGCACTTGGGGCCATTCAAAGATGTAACAATGTTGAAGATCATTGTTGGCGATGTGGATGAACCTCCGCTCTTCACTATGCCTTCCTATGTCATGGAAGTTTATGAAAATGCGAAGATCGGGACTGCTGTTGGCACAGTAACAGCACAGGATCCTGACACTGCCAACAGTTTAGTGAGGTACAATAAGTCAAATTTATATGTGATTGAATTTCACCAGCTAAAGGGTTAATGAGATCTTGGAAGCGTGAAACCATGTCTTTTATCTTAGTACGTAAAGGGAAACAAGTCAGAACTGTGTCCTGATCACTCTGTGTGGATTTGATTTAATAACATAGTCTTCAAACTGTTGTTGCTTTGCGCTGCAGTTGCCATCTAGCCATTGATCTGAGCAAAGGTCTGTGTGCACTAGTTCCTGTAACAGCACCTCTCCAAACGGCTCACAGAACAAGGCCGGTATATGTTGCCATGTAAGATAAAATGGTGCAATTCACTTGCCTGCTGCCAGTCAGTATCCTGCCACTGGTTGTAAATCTGTTCAGGATCATAATGCTCTTTTTCCCCCATCATGCTTGTATTGTGCTGGCCCTCTCCATGCTTGCCATACTGTAGATGCCTCAGGAGCTTTTGCAAGACAGGAACTGGTTTAGGTATGCCTTTCCTCACAGACAAACGGTGTCATTTTTGCAGAAGTGTGTTTGAGGAGAAAACCATTATTTTGTAATATGCTTCAATTTTAGTGGGGTGTCAAAATAATAGAATGGGTGGAATAATGCACCCCACTGATGTTGCTAGGTATATGTCATGGTATCTCCAGTTGTGAGGTCTAGGGCAAAGAGAAGTACTGAGATCCAAGCACTTGCAGCATCAGATACGTCATTTGAGAACTAAATGAGTATGTAACATACTAGGAAGAAAAGATTTTGATAGTCTTATTAATGAAATACTTTCTTAAAGAATGTTCTCATTTGCTTTTCTGGCCAGAATATTTTTTATAATAACAGAACTGTTTTGGAAATAGGTCATGTTCTGAACTAAGGAAACTAAATCAAGCTGGAAGTACCCCCACAGCAAGCTTGAAAAAGCACTGATGCCAAATATATACCAAACATATATATATATATGTATTTATATATATGGATGTTAATTTGACAACTTCTAAATTTAAGAGCATTTGAATTTAACCTTGAACACTCCAGAACTGGGGTTTGAATTCATTGCTGGTTTACAGTAAAGTTTTCAGTTACATATTTTCAGCTATAATAAGATCCAATGACATTTTTACTAGCTTCATTTGTGGGATGAGTTACTTTCTAAACTGACATGCAGTGTCAAAATTTTGTGGAACAATACATGAGTGTCTTAAAGGTGGCACTGGATTTAAAATGTTTCCAAAAAATTCTTCATGAAAACATATTTGATGCTATTAATTTTTATGACATGATATATGTAGTCTTTTGGGAAATCATATCAGTATATACTTGGAAAACAGTTTTTCTTAAACTAATTGGGCATTTGTAATCTCCTGACTGAGTCAAAATCTGCTGGGTGTCTGTAATAGTCTTTGTAAGATGAAACAATTTTTGCAGAACAACGAAAGCCTCAGGTTTTATGGTTCTCTTGTGCTAATAGTCTAAGATTCAAAATGTTTAGTGTCAGACAATCGATAAATAGTTTCTTAGTGGCAAGTTATTGCCTTTGAAAAATTATCACTATGGTATTTGTGTCTAAATCATAACATAAATAAGAACATTTCACTACAAATAGCTGCTAAGTGCCTATAGCTGTAATACTATAATTCTGAAACATCAGCCAATGCAGTCAGATAGATTAGCCATCATGGTCATTTGGGAGTAGGAAGGGCAAGTGTAGATTTAACTGGTTCCTCCATAATTCAACCATATGTGGCCCATAAGAGTTTTGTCTAGAAAGGAGCAAGACAACCATGGTATAATGGAAGCAGCAGCAGTTTGTAGAAAGGCTGGAAAAGCCAGAAATAAATTTTCTGGGTAAAACAGACAGTAATTTGGAGACAGAGGGATCAGAAGGAAAAAGAAATTCCACGTTTTGCTTTCTGTATTGGCCTTTTTTTTTCCAATCAGGAATTTGTAACCAGTGATTGAAGCCACAATATTAAATACTGTATTCAAATAATTGAGGAGAAAACAGTCCTTACATTTGCCCGTCCTATTTTTATTCCCTATTGACATTTATTTTTGCATTGTTCCTTCTATCTCTCTCTGTTTCAATGGGGGAAAAAATAAAGTGCTAGCAAAATATAAAATCATGAAGCTCTGAAACAAGCAAGTCCTCAGTTACACATAGCAGGGCTTCAGCAAGGGCAATAGCAGCTCAGATATACTGGATATATCATTATATTGTGACTGGGTCCACTACTGAGCCAGACTTTATCCATCTTGATGGAACTCACAGTGAACATTTTATGAAGATGCTGATCCTCTAAGGCCTGGACTAGCACGTTGGTGCATGGGACTGGGAAGAGGCACCAAGCTGGGTTTGTCTGCCCTCAGGTTCTCCTTAATCCTTAGAGGATTAGAAAGGATGCTCTAGGAATGGGCAACTTTATCCCCTCTCACCTCACTTCACACACAAGCATTTACACAGTGCAAAAAAGGCTTTGTGTTGTTTCAAGATTTGGTTGGCTGCACCTTGGGATTCTGTGGGTTCGAAGCAGTGCACCACCTCAGAAGTGGGCCAGGCCAGCCCGGCTGAGCTGCTGCTCAACTGGAGGCATGGTCTGGCCCCATGTTCCACTCATAGTGGTGAGCAAAGAAGCAACTTAAAGAAGGCCGTTTCTATGAGAAGCATACACACAGCGCACAGGTCCTTCTGTGCTGGTTTGCAAGACATGCCTCTGCTATTCATCTGAAACTCCTATGAATCTGAGGGTAATGAGACCATGTCTCTCCTCATTTCCACACAATTCTTAGTTAATTCAAAATAAAAATAGTAATTACAAAAATAAACCCAGGAAGATTCAATGTAACTTTCTTGAGAAGCGTAGATCACAGTCGCCGGGGAAGATAGCTACAGGTAGGACTTTCACAGATGACCAGTGTTGAGCAATGGAGTAATGGAGTAATGGTTCCTCAGCAAAATGACTCAGATACATCTCCAAATGCTATGAGTCTTCAGGACAAGCTACAGAGCAACAATTTGCTTAACAGTTTTTATTAATCCACTTGTGAATCCTTTCCAGCTTATGAGGGTGCTCATTGCTGTGTGTGAGATAGATTGATAAAGCATTAGGCACACACAGTTGTAACCATATCACTTCTTTGCTGTCCAGCTGCTGAAAGAGATACAGTGCTGTGATTTGTTCACTGCTCAATTAAGTAACAGTTTATTTTGGTGGCAGGAACAATTCTTATAACCAGAATAATGGTTAGTGGAGTAGTTTAATTAACAATACTGAAGAGAAATCTTTTTTTAAAACTTATTTGAGCTAAACCCCAAAATAAATAACAAGCCCTATTGTTATCAGTAGAAAGGGAGCTGAAGGGGTTTTTTGTCCTTATTTCCTCACTGAATTTTCATCACAGTGATTTCACCTTGTTCCTAAGCTGAGCAGTCCTCAGAGAGCACTGACTTTGAGCCTGCTGTTGTGCTATTTTTCTGCTTTTTTAACACTAGCAAAAGAACCTCTATTATAACAAATGTAGCTATTAGAGGTATGTTTTATTCAGACATTACGTGTTTGGCAATTTGGGCTCTTTTAAAAGATTTTTCTTTCTAATTTGATACTTTTTCTTCAAAATGATATAAATGCATTTTCAGGTAAACTTAGAAGTGTTTTTGACACATGACATCCTTCTCTTTAACTTGGAGAGGCATGGATTTGAGAGATGGACCACTTAATAGACAAGTAATTGACTGGATGGTCACACTCAGAGACTTGTGGTCAACAACTCAATGTCCAAGTGGAGACCAGCAATAAGCAGTGTTCCGCAGGGGTCAGCACTGGGGCCATTGCTGTTCAATATCCTTGCCAGCAACACAGACACTGGGATTGAGTGCACCCTCAGCAAGTTTTCCAGTGACACCAAGCTGTGTGGTATGGTCAGCATGCTGGAGGGAAGGGATGCCATCCAGAGGGACCTGGACAGGCTCAAGAGGTGAGCCAGTGCAAAACTCATGAAGTTCATTAAGGCCAAGTGCAAAGTCCTTGGGTCAGAGCAATCCCAAGCACAGTGCCAGGTTGGGCAGAGAATGGATTGAGAGCAGCCCTGAGGAGAAGGACTTGGGAGTGTTGGTTCTCATCAACATGAGTGGGCAGTGTGCGCTCACAGCCCAGAAAGCCAACCGTATGCTGAGCTGCATCAAAAAGGAGTGTGGCCAGCAGGTCAAGGAAGGCAATTCTGCCCTTCTGCTCTGCCCTGGTAAGACCCCATGTGGAGTACTGTGTGCACTTCTGGGGCTCCCAACACAAGAGGGATGTGGACCTGCTCGAGAGAGTCCAGAGGAGGACCACGAAGATGATCCAAGGTCTGGAGCACCTCTTCTATGAAGACAGACTGAGAGCTGGGGTTGTTCAGCCTCTAGAAGAGAAGGCTCCAGGGAGACCTTATAGCAGCCTTTCAGTACCTAAAGAGGGCCTACAAGAAAGATTTAATGAAGGAACTGAAAGTATATATTAATACTGTACTTTGGTAAGAGTAGTATTTGAGAAATAAGTCATGCTATTATAAAAATACTGCAACAGCAGCTTATTCCTTTTGCTGCTGTTGCTGTCTTCGTCATGCAGTGATACAGAAGGCAAATCACTGTTTTGAGCACTAACGATGTGGCCTCTGTCCCCTCTGGTTGTTCATTAGTCCCACTTACTACATTTGACTTAGGTTGTTTGCATTTCTGTGCAGGAATGGACTCAGCTATGTAACAGAAGACTTCTGGCAAATACGGGTACTAGTCAGCACTCTGTGTGTGATGGCAGTGTCAAATAAGAAATACAAGCACCTTCCCTTTTCAGAACAATGTCTAGCATGGCTGGGTTAAAAATAACCTTATATTTTGTCTGATCTGTGGAAGGTTGCTTAGTTTTGTAATATTAATATATTTGAATTTGGGTAATTTTTTTCATTGTACCCTAATCAGTCTGTAGTCTACTGTAATAAATTTTATTCAATAGGATTGAAATTGATTAGCTATAGGAAACTGAT